TTGGCACGAGTATTCGCAGAGGGGGCAGAGCAAAGAAAGGAGAGGAGGAGCAGGGTGGGAGAAGATGTAAAGGTGAGGTTATACCTTTTATTTTGCTTATACGATCTTGAGTGTGATAAGCTATTTTCATCACGGATGGCGGTGGTGGGAGGTACAGTACACCTCCAGGTTTTACATGGGCATCGCTGGTGGGTGCCCATACGGGCTTTTGCTCAGCTAGCACTACTGTACTCGAGTACAATAGTGATTATGATTTCCCCCCTGCTGGTCTGTGGTGGCTACCGAGACTAGGGTTTTGTGTGCGAAAGATATTATACTTATGGGCTGCCGGAACTATACATTCATAGCCCATATCTACTGAAAAGCTAGAGCACTGTGGCGGACCACGACAAAAAAAATGGAAGCAAGCACCATAAAAGCTTTTATATAAAGACAATAAAAGATGCCACAGGATCATCAATCCTCGATCTCCATCTCCTCGCCCTGTCCGCCGGCATTCCAATCCTCACCCCATAGCCCATCCAATTTAAACTCTTCAGTCGACTCTTTAACAATCTCTTTGCGATCATCAATCATTATGGCAGCGGTGGCGGGCTTAACACCTTGGTAGCTGGGGGGACCGCGGTTGGGGGGATCAATCCAACCTTGGCTCCTTCCATCCCTCCAATCCATCATGACGACCTTTGCCGCTCCTTCGTTGTCGGGGATGCCTCCTTTACCTAGTTGCCCACACTTTCGTGCGACCTACATTAGGAAGTCTGTTGTGAGATCAGTGGCGGCAGTATCGACGATGAGAGGGAGGTTGTAAAAGCGGAGGAGTTTGTCAAAGAGCGTGTGGGATGTAGATAGCCGGCGGATGAGAAGGGAAACTGCAGGTACCGGGTTGAGGATTTGCTTTGGTTGGAGGGCACTTAGGAGGATGAGAGGTGCCTGATTGTTCTTTGAGCCACCATTTTGAGACTTTTGTCTAGCTTGACTTCTAGTAAGCTTGTGGTGACGGCGGCTTCGGCGCCTGTCGGACAGGCGGTCCATAAGCCACCCAGACGACCAGTAAGGGTGTTGATAACTGATAATTTCTCAACATTCGGGTATCCAATTACACCCGCTGATACCGACCAGTTGAGCTGTTTGTGTGAAAAATGGAGTCAAAGGGAATGAAGAGTTTGTGAATGAGAAGCGAAACGAGTGAACCAAGCGGAGACTTGTTAATTTTTGTGACCTTGTCCCTACATAATTTTGCGAACAAACGAGACCTCTTAGATACATAAGTCAATCAATAACTCTTCTGCAGTCCCTCAAACATAATCACGCCATTTCCATATCTTCTGACACCATCTCCTTACCCCGTCTTTCCTCCTTCACTTTTCCACTCTTGCATAACAGCTTACCCCTCACTCCGGATAGTTCACCGGGTACCCCGCTCCGGTGAATCATCCGTTATTCTTCTCATATGTTCCAGTTCAACCAGAGGGAGAAAGATCTCGGAAGGAGCCCCGGTGAATAACAACGGTTTGGCATGCGCAAATGATTTTAGAGTCTCCAGAAGAGTAGCTGAGGTGCCATATACCGTCAAGGATTTATGATCAAATGTCTGGGCATTCGCAGCAGACCTGCTAGCGCTTAGTGGCAGCGTTGGGAAGTCTCTGCGGAGATAATCCAACCACCCGTTCAGCCGTCCCTGGCACGAGATAGATCTTGTTCAGGATAAGGATAGTCGTTTCTCGCTGCCATCAGCCCCCATTTTCTGTCTTTCCACATCGCTGGAACGGATGCCTTCGGGGTCTCGAGTATCTAGGACGTAGAGAGCTATGCCGGCAGCATCGACCACTTGCTTGAATATCTTGTGAAGCGATTTTCATGAGATATCTTTGCCGGTGCTCTTGGATTCGAGATCTGGAATGCCCATTTCTGAATCTGAATCGCTATTGGACTCACCGCCGAAGCCACCATGCTCAGCTTCATATTCTGAGGCCCTTGCTTGCCGTAAGGCCAGGAGGGCTGCCATTGCGGAACCTCCAGTATATGATTATTTAGCAATTTATTTAAAAAGAGAAATGAGTACTTGTCGCACATGGCGGAACATACTCTAGAATTAGCATCATTTTCATCCATAGCATCGCTATATAACTCACTGGAACTCTCATAACCTCCTCCCTGGTCCTGTATAGCATCCTCCCTGCCCTCTGCTCTACCCACTAACTCCTCCTTTCTCCGCTTTGCAAGTTCTCTTCGGAATTGCTCCTGTTCCTTCAATAGCTTTCCCTCTCCAATCTCAGATAAACGATCTTATATGGAAAACAGCTCGGAATACTGAGTTTGTCGTTCATCTTTTTTTTTGGTGGAGTTCTAGATGCTTTTTGGCCTCCTTTCGTTTCCTGTGGGCCATTTTGTTAGAGCGCTTCTCGATTTTGTGGTGGAGAGGAAGAGGAATCCGCTTGGACTTCTTTCCTAGAAACTCTTATCGTAACCAATAGCTCGTATATCCGGATAGGCAAAAACCTAACATTGTGAAATTTTTTGGAGATAGCGATGGGTTTCCTGCTTGGTGTGTAAAGTGGGAAGAATCTCCATGCACTAGTGCATTCAAATAAGGTTGTCATTCTGGTTTTATCTTAAAATTCGTTGAGAGTTGAGTAAGCAAGTTGATGAGGATGTCTTTGAGTGTGTTTTTAGAGAGAGAAGAAGTGGAGCGAAAACTTTTCATACACTCTTTTGACTGCCACCCGAAAGCCTGGGCGTTTCGGTTCGGCAGAGTGATAATTTGTGATCGCGGACTTGGTGATTGTGGTACGGAAAGTCATAAATGTAAGAATTTCCTACGCAAAAAACTAGCGGAAAGAAGTCGGCCCTCTACCCCCCGTCGTATTAATTCCTGCCCCGCAGCATGGGAAACGTGGGAGCTGGGGGGCTATGGAAAGGGCGTCGAGTGAGGCTATAGGGAATGGAGAGGAGTGGTAGTCTAGCTACTATCGCATTGCATACATCCTCAGGAGGTTTTTTCGTATAATTATTTAATTTTATGGCTATATTGATGGAGTGGAGTGGAGTAGAGTGGATGGCTCGAACAGGGCCGACAGAGTTGGTGATTCAGGCCCTTCTAGAACCGGCTAGGCCAAGCAGCGACCGGTGATGGGGGGTGAGGTGATGCGGCCAGATGGTTGTGCTTATGCTGTCAGGCTTTGCACGCCGCGGCCTATATTTTGTCACTCGCAAGTCTCGTCTTCAAACAAACCGTCAACCCCACACCATATCCAACCACCAATTACTCAATTTGAGCTCTCTCTCTTTCTCTCAACTTATCCCTAGCAACTTGCTATTTGGTCGCCCGATCATGTCCGACCAATTATTTGATCAAGTTTTGAAAGCGGTGAGGACCGGCAATCCCGACGTGTTGCTCTTTCCCGACGTTGACCCGGAAGACTTCGCATATTCCCTGGAAAGCTTACGTGCTCATTCCGATCGCCGTGACCAATATTCCTTTCGCTAATTTAATTACCCCACAGTTGGCCTGAAATATTGATGACTTGCTAATGCTCACAGGATCCACTGGTTTTCCCGTGAAAACAAATTGAAGCTTGTAATGCCTTCGATGCTTCACGCATGTATTTCATCCTGGGTTATTGGAAACATTATGGAAGCCACACGCGATCATCTTATTTCCAGTGCCTGGTATTCCACTATGGGGCCGATGGGTTCTCCCGGTATGTTGCTGACTCCTTCAGGATTCGGTATTAAAGGCCGGAACCTAGCTAACCCTATTCCCCACTGGCAGAATATAGCAATTTCGTCGGTGCATATAAAGGCTCAATAAAAAGGCCAACCTTTGCGCTTCAACCTCGTGGAGATCCAAGTCCGGGCGGGCTTCCTGAGTTCCCCACTGTTGTTGTGGAATCCGGTATCAATGAGCCGCATGCCGAGCTTCAAGCGAATGCCAGACTCTGGCAAGAGGGTACAGCAGGAGCTGTGCGAGTTGTACTACAAGCCCAATTTTCTGCACCTACTAAGAAAAGCAAAATGAGACTTCTCCTATCTGTTTCTCGTTTCGGTCCGGACGGACACCCGATGCTACATGACTATTACGCAAGTTCTTTCCTTACACTACATACCCCTATACCTGTACTAATATTTGTTATGTGCACATAGGACATTTTTCCAGCCCGCCCCCCCACCCCCAACAAGACCCATATGTCGCTCTGGACGAATTCTATCGAGGAAATTGTCCCCTTAGCATTGAACCGAAAAATGCCGTTCCGTTTAACCTTACGTTTCTTGGTAAAGTAGCAGACCACTGGATCCGCAAGGGGGGTCATCTCCCTGCCTAAATTGCTTTAGAAGCAGCAGCCCTGGTCGGGCTTCTGACTTATTTTCCTACTTGAAACCTCTGTAGGATAAACAAAAGCAATAAATAAGGGGCTGTTTCGCGCGACATACTTTAGCTTTCAGCCATATTCACGGGGCAAACCATAGATTGTACTTGGGAGTTCAGTAAAGAGCCGGAAGACCATCTCCACTTATCCTATATGAAGGGGGTCGGGGAAAGTCTGGCGAACCTGGCGGTGCATGTGGCGGCACACTTACCTCGTGATTTGTCTTGTATATACAATATAGTCTAACCAGTAACTGAGTGGTTTTTATTTCCGAGTCATCATATGCTTCAGCCTGAGTAGTATTGGGCAATTTTCACGATGGTGTGTTATGGTCAAATAACTACGTCAACCACTGATCTAATTATTAGTTTTATTGAATTTCTTCCTTGCAACTAGCACACGAATGGTTTTACATCGGGGTCAATAATTGAATCAGGTCCTGTAGTTTATGATAAGAGATAAGGGAAAGGTAAGAAAAAAGAAGTAAATATCATATACAGTATCATACTATCATACCATCGTTTTCAAGAGAGCCTTCTGATAGTAGATTCACCCATTGCTAACCAGGGAGCAGCCAGAGTTTACCACTGAGAAGGAGCTGGTCTAACCAGAAGAAAAAGGTATTCCCACCCATATCCCGCCTTACCATGTTCGAGTAATCTTTATGTGGGTCAAATTCTGTCCACACACTCAGGGGGAATGTGTGCTTATTCAGTTCGTACCAGCGGCGATCCACCATATTAGTCATTGTAGGGTTGTCTCTATTGGGATTCGGAGTGCGGGTCTGGGGGGTGGGCGATGGGGATGAAGGAAAATGAAATAATAATCCATTGGGCCCTAGGGTGCGATTGGCTATAAAGTAGCAGGTGCCAGGTGCTGCTGAGCGATTGAGTGACCATGAACGACAAGGAAAAGGGTTAAAAGAAATACGTGGGATATTGTCACGTACCATCGGACGGGTTCCGAATAGTCCGACTAGTCAAGTCTTGGAGGCAGGACCAGTCTTTATAAAAGACTGCATAGGCACGCAATATCACTCACTTAGGGTACCGAAAAAAATTTGATACTCGCGAACATATTTTCGCCGCCCCTAATCTAAGCGAGGCACTATCTCCATTCCAACTCTCCTGAGATTCTACAATATAACCTATGGAAGCAATGAGTTTAATCAAGACAAGCTTTATTTGAGCGTAATATATTGTGAGAAAAATAGTAAAAAGCAAGATGGGATGCTAATTTTGTCAGAGGGCCGTGCATATCATACTGCTTGGCGGGCCTGGTCAGACCAATCCCGGTCGAGTGGGGTCCGATAATCCCTACTATCCAGTCGGTCTAATTTCCACCATTAGACTAGACTTGACTTTCGACCGGACTACCTGTAGCTGGTCCAGACCAGTCTTCCACGGACCATTCGGAACCCTGGTAAATTATCGACCGATATCTCTAGCGACTTCTGGGGTCCAGACATTCTCCAAGCACGTTCGAAAAAGAGTCATACAGCCTCACCCTTCTTAACCATCACTCCCTCTCCGGTGGGCGGAGCAACATTAGTGCCTAGTGGGTGTTAGCGTTATGTCAACTTCAAAAATTAGAGCATATACAACACCTACCATCATAAAAAAACAAACGGAACCCTAATCTCCTCATTCTTAATCTTCTTTGACAATGCCAAAAACTCCTGCCGCAAAGTCTCACGTTCCTGAGCCTCCCTCAAAAGTGTATTCTTCGTCAACACCTTCGGACCCCGTAGTCACAATTTCCGCTTCATCTTCCACTCCTTCACCTCACCCTCCTTGCCACTCTTATCACTATCCCGACCACCCAAGCCAGCCGAGTAGGTAGTAACGCCAGCATCTATGCCATCATCACCATAATCATCCCCCTCCCGTGTGACGCCCCCCAGTGGTGAACACTATAGAAATAAATTCCAGAAAAGCAAGCAAATAGGTCAGAACCCAGACCAGGGCTGTTGCTTCTAAAGCAATTTAGGTAGGGAGATGACCGCTCTGGTGGATCCAGTGGTCTGCGACTTCACGAAGGAACGTAAGGTTGAACGGAACGGCAGTTTTCGGTTCAATACTAAGGGGACAATTTCCTCCATAGAATTCGTCCAGAGTGACATACGGGTCTTGTTGGGGGTGGGGGGGGGGGTTGGAAAAATGTCCTATGTGCACAGAACAAATATTAGTACAGGTATAGGGGTATGTAGTGTAAGGAAAAAACGTGCATAATAGTCATGTAGCATCGGGTGTCCGTCCGGACCGAAACGAGAAACAGATAGGAGAAGTCTCATTTTGCTCTGCTTAGTAGGTGCAGAAAATTGGGCTTGTGGTACAACTCGCACAGCTCCTGCTGTACCCTCTTGCCAGAGTCTGGCATTCGCTTGAAGCTCGGCATGCGGCTCATTGATGCCTGATTCCACAACAGTGGGGAACTCAGGAAACCCGCCCAAACTTGGATCTCTGCGAGGTTGGAAGGCAAAGGTTGGCCTTTTTATTGAGCTTTTATATCCACCGACGAAATTGCTATATCCGTGGGAATAGGATTAGCTAGGTTCCTGCCTTTAATACTGAATCCTAAAGGAGTTGCCAACACACCAGGAGCACCCATCGTATCCATAGTGCAATACCACTTACCAGGGATGCCATAATGTTTGCAGTAACTCATGCTGGAACATAGGTGGGGGTGTTGCGCAGGTGCAGGGATGTGCCGGGGGGGTTTGTGGTACCATTTATGTGGTGGAGACGGAGGGTTGAGTCGGGGCCTGAGGAGAGGGGGAGGGGGTGGTGGGGGTGGAAGTGGAGGGTTGATATCATTGACTGGTAACTTGTTAAAATTATGCTGGATGCCTAAAGGGGGAGGGGAGGAGAATGGGATGTATATATACCAAACTACCACCCATCCTATTCCCATCTGCCAACCTCACTATCGCTAACTTCTCCGGCTGCAGCCTCCCTGGAACCTTGCGTGTCTAGTTCGTAGTACTCCTCAGGATCTTCTCGAGACTGGGCGCAGGCCTCACCGCTTCCCCATCCCCACCTTCCTCTTCCATCCTGCCCACCTCTTCATCACTACCGCTCCCCGCACCCCCCGCACCGTCCAGCCTTACCCTCTTCCTGTCCAAGCCACCGGCAGCCCACTCGAGCACTGGATAAATCCTCTCAAACTGCCTGCGCAGTCGCGCGGAAGACTCCTTCCCACTGATGAGGTCTTCAGTCTCGGTGTCCCGAAGCTTACGCAGCAAGCCCGGATTAGCAAGTGAGATGGTAAGCATTTCATCGTCGGAGGTTTACCATGCCGGAAGACACCCCTCCTCCCCGTCTTCTTCTCCCTCTGAAGAGTCACGACCGGCGCCCGGAATATCGCTAGTGGGGATTACATTGGTACTGGACGGCCCCTCGTCAACAAGGAATAACTTATTATCTTGTAGCGCTTGTAAGTCTGCTCCTGCATCTGCATCCCCATCCCCGGCAAGCGTAATCCCTCCTCCTCCTCCTCCATCACTGTCGTCGGAATATCCACCGTCAAGTTCATTCAACCCGGCTTCAAAACCTTCTGCGTCGCCGAAGATTAATTTTTCGAGAAACTGCACTTCGGCATCTTTCTCTGGAACGGGTGCTCGAGTATTTGTTCTTTCTGAACATGCGGGTTCTGTGAGGAGTAGGGAAGTGGATTTCGAAGGGCCGGCTTTCGAGTGGGACCTTTTGCCCATTTTTGCAGCGCAGGCGTGAAGCATCGAAGGCATTACAAGCTTCAATCTGTTTTCAGGGGAAAACCAGTGGATCCTGTAAGTATTAGTAAGTTATCAAGAATTCAGGAAAACTGTGAAATAAATAGGTTGCTGGAAGGAATATTTGCCAAGGCAATTGGAATGAGCCAGTAATATTTCCAGGGAATTTGCGAAGTCTTCGGGATCAACGTTGGAAAAGAGCAACACGTCAGAACTGCCGGTCCTCACCTCTTTCAAAACTTGATCAGATATTTTGGTAGACATAATCAGGCGACCAAATAGCAAATTGCTAGGGATAAGTTGAGGGGAAGAGTGAGAGCTCAAATTGAGTAATTGGTGGTTGGATATTGTGTGGGGTTGACGGTTTGTTTGAAGACGAGACTTGAGGGTGACACTACATAGGCCACTGCGTGCCATGCCTGACAACATGAGCCGCATCACCCGCATTAGGTGTAGGGCTTGGTGATGGTTTCTGCGCCGCAGGCTTAACCTACCGGTACTGTGGGGCGGTGCTAGTGGTTTTAAAATCGGGTCGGGTTCCAATAGATGTCTTAGCACTTCCTTGGGCGACATATCAGCTATCAAGTCTAAAACTGTGTTTGGCTCTCTCGATTTTTGCAACTGCTCCACAACATCGGAGTAACTTAAGCATGTGTGAAGATCCTAAAATCACATCCCAAATAGATGCTCTAGAAACCTCGTAACACGCACGAGCTTTAGAATACATAGCACCTCCATCTATGAAAGCGATAATACGCTGAAGAAGGTAAAGGATTATCAAGCGAAGTCCAACCGGAGGGCTACGGCATATTTGTACAGTCAATATAGGACACATTATTAGGAGACTCACACTAAAGCCGGATCATCGCGCACTAAAGACTCAGAAAGATCTTTTGTTGAGCACCGATTTCATCCAAACCAGTCCTCAACGCCTGTTCCACAAGCGCCATATCTGGGAGGTTTTTCTTCTCGAAAATACCTGTGCATTCCTGGGCCATGGCAAGATGAAGTGAGTACATGTCCTTTTGTCCTTGGTGTTGAGGTAGACTCTTGCGTACAAACTTCATAGATCAGTACTCGTACCAAATAGTACACTGGCGCACAAACCTATCAACAAAGTTCCTGTTGTCCCCTAGGAATTTTTGGAAGTCTTCCATCAACTTTTCAATGGTGTCTTTTATATGCTTGTGCCGATTAGACACCCACATCCCATTTTCATTCCCAATCACCGTCTCTTTTCCCTTGTCAGCACCACCAGAAGTGGTAACCTTAACAACATAAGTTACTTTCTCCCCATCGTTTATAGGCGGAAGATCATGGGCCATCGCTTGATAAGTGAATTAGTGTAGTGCGGGAGCGAACACATCAATAGATCAATCTATAACAAACAGCACTCCCCGAGGCCTATTTGAGGGCGGAGGAAAATCAGGGTGCCGCTGGGCGTTGAGGTCTAATTCTGTCTGTGCATCTTCGGCGAGTAGCTCTGATGATACTCGAGCTTCATGGAATAGATTTGGCGGACAAAAATATAGTATAGTAGGGTACTCTCCAAGAGATGCACAAACACGGACGATCCTCTTACCCAGCTCTTCCAAGTGACCCCTTACCAAACCACAGCATTCCGGATGGTATAGGTTGCAAAATTATGTCGGGTCACGGAATGTGTAGCGATGAGCCTCCCGGGGGAAGAAACCAGTCGACCGAACATTTTCGCCTGCAATCAAACCACGTTCAATGGATTTCAAGACCATGTCGCGAAACCGATCATCAAGGCCTGGAGCCATGGCATAAGTCATAACGAAACCAGGATTAAATTGTCCTCAAAGCTGTGGAGCCCAAACCTGAAGTCCATAGCAAATGTGCGCATGTGTATCGAGGGTTAGTGCTAGCAAAGTCTGATATCAAACAACAGACAGTGTGCTCCTGTTGTGTAAGGATATAAGCGCCCTCTATTGGTTGAGGCATTCGCTTCTACTCAATAAGGGAACATCTAAATTGCACAGCACCGGATGGCCAGGCACTTCCACATATGGCAGATCACAGTAGGGAAAAACCTTAGATACTCTCGTCGAGAATAAGATGTGTTTCTATAACATTTGTAATCAGCATCCACATCTTACACAACACCACTTTTTAGAAGAAGACAAAGTCAATGAATTTTATTTTATCAATCCATCGTTGCCCGGGCCCACCCAATAAGCCAAATCTTCTCACAATGCTTAGTTCAATTTCATCGTACTCATCCTCCGTGTGGCGGTACCTTCCGAATTCCCCGTGTTTGACCCAACAAACTTCCTCCCAGTGATCCCAAGCGGCCAGTCCGTCTGGCTTTGGGTACGGCCGGACTGACCCAGGCTTTTTCAGGGACGGCCGGGCCGGACTGTGCGCAAGCGGCTTTCTAAAACTAAAGCTGGGCCTGGCCTGGGTCACCTGCAGGCTTTTGGTATTTCAGCCCTGACCCTAATACCCAAAAATAACTTTCCGGGTAATAGGGTCAGGGTTAAAACACGCTATCACTCATGGCACTTCGTTGACTTTACGCGTACTGAAAGCTTTTATGCCGTAGGAGATTATCTTTATCGTGTTACTCTCTACATCGTGCATACTATCAATAATATCATAGTTGGAAGGGGGATAAAATTTTGGTGATGAGGTTGGAGATGGTATCCGGTTAAGGTTAATATGCTAGAAGTAGATATAATAATTTCCATGATAATTGTGCTAAGTAATGAGCCGAAGGATCATGGTCGTGTAGTGTGGTTATGAAGACAATCGTTGTTGAAGTAGAGGACATTTACTCGTTTTAAGCGAAATCTGCTACCGGTAGTAGCGCTGTAAGCTCCTTGTTCCGTTCCCACATCCCGAGTGATTAACCGTGAAAATCCTGCATGTTCGCAGATACCTGCGGGGTTTACCTGGGCATCTGGCGGCTTTTCCTGGGCACCCGTAGGCTTTGGCGGCCGTTAATAATTTAAGCCGGACTGACCCAGGCTTTTCAAAACCATGGCCGGACTGACCGGACTCGCCGCTTGGGAACACTGCTTCCTCCGAACCATGGCGTATTGTGTTGCTTCTTATGAGTAATAACTTGGACTTCTAGCTCACGTGGCCTAACACTACCGATTTCTCTTCCGCCCAATGGATCTAAGCGGGAATATTGCCCTCCTCACGTATCCAAAACCTTAACTCATTAGCGAGCATTGAGAGATCTAACACAACAACTGCATTCGGGTCCACACCGCGAGGACAAACATCCCCATATATCTCATCAAAGGAGACATATGGCCAGGGAAAGGGCTGGTTAGGGTAGGGTAGGATGGTCTACGTTGACAAGGGGCATATTAGCAGGGAAACCAGCAGGTTAGCGGAGGTGGGGTGCTTGCATAATGGTCTAGCAAGCGAACACCATCGGCCCTGATTCGCGAGACTGAGAGAAAAGCTCGCACTATCCTCTCCCGTGTCCTTCGGTATATCTTCAAGAGCCAGACCACTCGCACAGACCCTCCAGTACCCAGGTGCCATAACCATGCATCGTTCTCAAGCTCCACACTTGACTCACTGTAACCCGTCTCCAGAACAATGGTAGGGTATTGGATATCTTGCCGGAGGGGAATGAGGGCGCAGTCAGGTTCTTTCTGATGGTTCCCAAGCCGCCCATAAAGTTCCTAAATGCTAGTTGATATTTGATATAATTAGCAAGCCATTCGTACTTGAGCATTGGCAAATAAGCAACTTACTAGGATTGGTCAACATGTTGACCGTCCACAACCAGTGGGGCGGAGGCAGTGTTCCCAACGGGCCAGGTAGGCCAGGCTGGACCGAAGCCGGGCCCGGCTTGCCACAACTATGGGGAATTTAGGCCGGCCGGAGCCTGCAGGCTTTGAGAAGCCTGGGCCTGGCCTGGCCGGGCCCAGCTATAGGCCGTATAGGCTAAGTACCTGCCACCTGATTGGCCGGCCCGGCCTATATGGCCTAGCCAAGCCGCGCCTAGCCTATGAATAGGGGCCTACAACCCCCTCAGATCCTTGGTTTCTGCTCGGCTCATCTCCCATTCCACTAAACTAGTCCGAGTTACTCCCGTGAGAACTGTAAGTTACATAGTCCCTACGCAAATTCCACGCACTGGTATTAACGGAATAGAACGAGTATCAGTAAGATCACTAATATTATTAGGCACTGATCCTACATGCAGGTAGTAATATGGATTTGCTCGTGGTTCAAGTTGATGAAAACCCCCGAGGTCTAATAGGACTCGGTCAACCATAGCGGGCACATTCACTGATGGATTCCTGCCGAAGAAACTGAATCGGAAGGATCGTGAGATAGGACTGCATTGGAGAATCTGGAGGTTGATTTCCTGGACTTCTTTGAGCTGGTTGTGGATCGGTAATCGCGTAGTTATCATACTTCAACTGATAAGTGAGGATATAGATAAAATAATAATCGATAATGAAAGTTGTAAGGAATCGAGCTACTCTTAAAACAATTAGCTCTAAAAATCGTACTTGCAGGCCTGTAGGCTCCTACCAGGCCTGATAGGCTTGGGCAGGCCGGTTGAGTTCGGCCTATATCCGCCTAGGCTCATCGTCAGAGCAGCCTGCCTTGGCCCAGCCTACGGCCTATCACTGGCCTCGCCCGTTGGGAACACTGGGCGGAAGAAGCCATCTTTCGTAGGCCTGGTTGAAGTTCTTATTCAACCACATTGCTCCGGAGTCGTGGACTAGAGAAGGCATTCTAAAGGGAGGGAGGAGATGTATATGAGGGAGGAGG